AGGACGCCGTTTCCCGATCCCAATCCCGACTCCGGCTCCGGGCCCTGACCCCATTTTTACCCCTTTTATCCCCATTTTTTCACCATTTCTCCCCATTTTTTCCCCATTTTTCCCATTTTCCTTATTTTCCCCCATTTTTAACAAATTTCACCCCATCTTTACCCCAATTTTTCCCATTTTTTCCCCATTTTATCCCCATTTTTCCCCCCGTTTCATCCCCATTTTTTCACCGTTTTTCCTCGTTTTTCATCATTTTTTCACCGTTTTTCGCCGTTTTTTCGCCGTTTTTTGCCGTTTTTTCGCCGTTTTCCCCCTTTTAACCAATTTCTGTGTTTTTCCCCCCATTCCAGAGCCCCCCGAGGACGCCGTTTCCCGATCCCAATCCCGGCTCCGGCGCCGGGCCCTCTCCTCGCTGGCGCTGCGGGAGCTGCGGGAGGAGTTGGGGGAGGGGCCCCGGCAGGAGGGGGAGGGGCCGGGCCACGCCCCCCCCGCCCTGATCCACAGGTGGGAAATCCGGGAATTCCGGCGGAAAATTCCGGAATCCGCCCAGAACGCGTTTGGGAATTTTAGGGGATTTTTTGGGATTTTTTTGGGATTTTTTTGGGATTTTTTTGGGATTTTTTGGGGCGATTTAAACGATTTTTATGGGATTTTTTTGAATTTTTTTGGGCAATTTTAAGGGATTTTTATGGGATTTTTTAGGGATTTTTTTTTGAATTTTTTTAGGATGTTTTTAGGGATTTTTTTGGCACTTTTTGGACAATTTTAGGGAATTTTTTTGGGATTTTTATGGGATTTTTTGGGGATTTTTTTTTGAATTTTTTTAGGATTCTTTTCGGGATTTTTTTGGCACTTTTTGGACAATTTTAGGGGATTTTTTTGGGATTTTTGGGGATTTTTTAGGGATTTTTATGGGATTTTTTGGGGATTTTTTTTTGAATTTTTTTAGGATTCTTTTCGGGATTTTTTTGGCACTTTTTGGACAATTTTAGGGAATTTTTTGGGGATTTTTTGGGATTTTTTAGGGATTTTTATGGGATTTTTTGGAATTTTTTTCGACAATTTTTGGGGGCAATTTTAAGGGATTTTTATGGGATTTTTTTTTTAATTTTTCGACGTTTTTTTTGGACAATTTTAAGGGATTTTTGTGGGATTTTTTTGAATTTTTTCGACTTTTTTTGGGCAATTTTAAGGGATTTTTATGGGATTTTTTTGGGATTTTTTTTTGAATTTTTTTAGGATTTTTTTCGGGATTTTTTTGGCACTTTTTGGACAATTTTAGGGGATTTTTTTGGGATTTTTGGGGATTTTTTAGGGATTTTTATGGGATTTTTTGGAATTTTTTTCGACAATTTTTGGGGGCAATTTTAAGGGATTTTTATGGGATTTTTTTGGAATTTTTTCGACATTTTTTGGGGTAATTTTAAGGGATTTTTGTGGGATTTTTTTGAGTTTTTTCTACTTTATTTTTGGGGGAATTTTAAAGGATTTTTGTGGGATTTTTTGGGGATTTTTTTTAAATTTTTTTAGGATTTTTTGGGGAATTTTTTTTGGCACTTTTTGGACAATTTTAAGGGATTTTTTTGGGATTTTTGGGGATTTTTCTGGGATTTTTTTGGGGATTTTTCTGGGATTTTTTTGAATTTTTTCGACTTTTTTTTTTGGCAATTTTAAGGGATTTTTTGGGTTTTTTTAGGGGATGTTTTGAGGATTTTGTTTAAATTTTTTTAGGATTTTTTTCGGGATTTTTTTTGGCACTTTTTGGACAATTTTAGGGGATTTTTAGGGATTTTTATGGGATTTTTTTGAATTTTTTTGACAGTTTTTTGGGCAATTTTAAGGGATTTTTATGGGATTTTTTTTTTAATTTTTCGACTTTTTCTTTGACAATTTTAAGGGATTTTTGTGGGATTTTTTTGAATTTTTTCGACTTTTTTTGGGCAATTTTAAGGGATTTTTATGGGATTTTTTTGGGATTTTTTTTTGAATTTTTTTAGGATTTTTTTCAGGATTTTTTTGGCACTTTTTGGACAATTTTAGGGGATTTTTTTGGGATTTTTGGGGATTTTTTAGGGATTTTTTTGGGGATTTTTCTGGGATTTTTTTGAATTTTTTCGACTTTTTTTTTTTGGCAATTTTAAGGGATTTTTTGGGTTTTTTTAGGGGATTTTTTGGGGATTTTGTTTAAATTTTGATCCATTTTTGGGTAAATTTGGGTGATTTTGTTCCCTTTCAGTGGATTTTGCCCACTTTGGGTCAGATTTTGGGGTAAATTCGGGTGATTTTGGTCCATTTTTGGTTAAATTTGGGTGAATTTGTCCCCTTTCAGTGGATTTTGCCCAATTTGGGTCAGATTTTGGGGCAAATTTGGGGGATTTTGGTCCATTTTTGGTTAAATTTGGGTGATTTGGTTCCCTTTCAGTGGAATTTTCCCAATTTGAGTCAGATTTTGAGGTAAATTCGGGCGATTTTGGTCCATTTTTGGGTAAATTTGGGTTAATTTGTCCCCTTTCAGTGGAATTTTCCCAATTTGGGTCAGATTTTGGGGTAAATTCGGGCGATTTTGGTCCATTTTTGGTTAAATTTGGGTGAATTTGCTCCCTTTCAGTGGATTTTGCCCACTTTGGGTCAGATTTTGGGGTAAATTTGGGGGATTTTGGTCCATTTTTGGATAAATTTGGGTGAATTTGTCCCCTTTCAGTGGATTTTGCCCACTTTGGGTCAGATTTTGGGGTAAATTCGGGCGATTTTGGCTCCGCAGGCGCCGCTTTGAGGAGTCGATGCTGCGGCGCCTCAGCGCCCCCTGGCGGCCGCCAAAGGGGGCGGGGCCAGGCCTGGATGACGTCACCAACCTCGGGGCGTTTCCCGCCCTTTTGGGAGCGGCCAATCAGGTGCGGGGGGCGTGGCCTGGGGGGGGAAAAGGCGGGAAAACGGGGGGAAAAAGGCGGGAAATGGGGGAAAAGGCGGGAAAATTAAAATTTTGGGTCGATTTTCTGGATTTTTGGGGCGGAATTCTTTGGGAATTTTTGGGCTGAATTTGGGGGATTTTGGGGGTCAAGTTCCGGGGAATTTTTGGGGTGAATTTTGGGGAATTTCGGGTTGAATTTGGGGTTTTTGGGGGGGATTTTGGGGGATTTTGGGATGAATTTGGGGTTTTTGGGGTGGATTTTGGGGGATTTTGGGATGAATTCGGGGTTTTTGGGGTGAATTTTGGGGTGAATTTGGGGGATTTTGGGGTCAAATTTTGGGGAATTTTTTGGGGTCAATTTTGGGGGGTTTTGGGCTGAATTTTTAGGGAATTCGGCGCTGAATTTGGGGGATTTTGGGGTCAATATTTGGGATCAGTTTTGGGGAATTTTGGGCTGAATTTGGGGGATTTTTGGGATCATTTTTGGGGAATTTTGGGGTCTACTTTTGGGGAGTTTTGGGGCAAATTTTGGGCAGAAATTGGGAAATTTTGGGTTGAATGTCGGGGGGGTTTTAGGATCCATTTTTGGAGAATTTTGGGGTTAATTTTTTGGGGAATTTTGGGACAAATTTGGGGGATTTCAGGGTTGAATTTTTGGGGAATTTTGGGCTGAATTTCGGGAATTTTAGGGCCAAGTTTTTGGGAATTTTCGGGTCAATTTTGGGGAATTTTTGGATCAATTCTGGTCATTTTGAGGCAGAATTTTTAGGGAATTTTGGGAATTTTAGGGTCAAGGTTTGGGGAATTTTCGGGTCAATTTTGGGGGAATTTTTGGATCGATTCAGGTTATTTTAGGGCTGAATTTTTAGGGAATTTTGGGCTGAATTTTGGGAATTTTAGGGCCAAGTTTTGGGGAATTTTTGCGTCGATTTTTGAGGAATTCTTGGGTTAATTTGTTGGATTTTGGGGCGGAATTTTTTGGGGAATTTTGGGCCGAATTTGGGGGTTTTTGGGGCTCCATTTTGGGCTGAATTTGGGGGATTTTGGGGCTCAGGATTCGTCGGAGCCGCCGCAGAAAAAGAGGAAGAAACAAAAATCGGGGAAGAAGAAAGGGAGGAAGGGTGAGTCCGGTTTAAACCGGTTCAAACCAGTTTAAACCGGTTTAAATCCCTTTAAACCGGTTCAAACCAGTCCAAACCAGTAACTCCCAGTTCCCCCCCCAGGTTTCCGCCGCCGCCGCCGCTGATCCTCCAATAAAGATCCGTGATTTTCTGCCTCATTTGCATCTCATTTGCATTTCTTTCCGGCCTCGCCAGGGGTTGGGGGAGGGGGTTTATACTGGGAGGGGAAAAAAAACCCAAAAAACCCCCAAAAAATCAAAATTTTCCCCCAAATTTTTGAATTTTTTTCAATTTTTTCCCCAATTTTTTTTTTTCGATTTTTTTCCCAAAATTTCCATTTTTGTCCCTGAAATTCCCCCCAGTTTTTTTTTTTTTTTTTTTGTTTTTTTATTCTGGGGATATTTCTCCCAAATTTCACCTTTTTAAAAATAAAAGCTGCCCAAAATTCCCAAAAACCTTTTTTTTTTGACACTTTTTTTTTTTAAATTCCAATTTTCCTCTCGATTTGCGCTGGAATTTTTGGGGTTTTTTTTAAAATTTCCCCCAAAATCACATTTTAAATCGATTTTTTCCCCAAAATTTCTCCTTTTCCCATTGATTTCCCCAAAATTCTGCTCTTTAAATCCGTTTCCCCCCAAAATTCCGATTTTTTCACCTATTTTTCCTCAAACTTCCTCAATTTTTGTTATTTTTTCCCAAAATATTCCTCATTTTAAATGGATTTTTCCCCAAAAAAAATGTTTTTACTCTTTTTTTCCCCCAAATTTTTACCATTTTTCTGATTTTTCCCCTAAATTTCCCAATTTTCCACAAATTCCCCCAGTCTTTCTCCTTTTTCCCCAATATTTCCCAATTTCCCCCAAATTTCTCAAATTTCTCCCAATTTTCCCAATTTCCCCCCCAAAACTCCCAGAATTTTCTTTTTTCCCCAAATTTTCCTTTTTTCCCCGAATTTTCCTCATTTCCCCCCAAATTTTCCTTATTTCTCCCAAAATTTCCCCAAAAATTCCCCCAAATTTCTCCTTTTTCCCCCAAATTTTCTCTTCCCAAATTTTCCCCATTTTTCCCCATTTCCCCCAAATTTCTGAATATTTCCCAAAAATTTCCCCCTTTTTACCCCAATTTTTTCCAAATTTCCCCGAAATTCCCCCAAATTTCTCCTTTTTTCCCTAAATTTTCTCTTTTCTTCCAATTTTTCCCCAAAATTTCCTATTTTCCCCCCAAAATTCTCATTTTTCCCCGATTTTCCCCAAATTTCCCTTTCCCCCCCAATTTTTCCCCATTTCTCCCCATTTTCCCCCCTTTTTTCCCCATTCTTCCCATTCCCCCCATTTTTCCCAAATTTCTTCTTTTTTTCCCAAATATTTCCCTTTCTTCCCAAATTTTCCCCAATATTTCCCCATTTTTTCCCCAAGATTTCCCCATTTTCCCCAATTCTCTGCATTTCCCCCATTTTTTCCCCGTTTTTCCCCAATTTCC